GCCAACTTATATGGAGGAATGAGTGAACCTCAGAGAATCTAGGCATTGATATAGATGAGAAAGATCAATGACTGGACACCAATTTCCTGTCTTCTTGGGCCCCACAACTGAGGGGAATAAAACCCCGGAAGAACTAGAACGACTCTCTCACTCTACCCATAGACCAACCAAACTCTAAATAAGGTGTTTTTATACAGTACCAGGATAGAGCACACATTGAGTGGAGAATGTCAAGAGGAAAATATTGCCAAGGGAAATTAGGTGAAGTATAAAAGACTGAAGCAAGTGAGAAAAAATCATATCGATGTTTAGATGGGCAAAGGAAGGAAACCTTAGCAATCAAGTAACAGCTATAGTTTGAGAGGAGGTAAGTATGTTTTGGAAATCAAAATGTTATATGCAACAGAAATAAATATATTTATGAATGTATGTTTCAGTACACTGTACATATGACAATAAAACCCATCCAGTAATACATGAACAACAGTAACTGAACACAGTTATGTTTCAAAAGTAATGATCTTTATAAAAAAAAGGCACAAGTACAACTAGTGAAAACAATATGTTCTCTTTTTTTTTAACCCTATCGCCATGGATATAATTTACTGCTATGACACAAAGTCTTACATTCAAAATTTTATTAAACTACTTTTTGTTTATGTTATATCAATTACTATGGCATAAAATCTTAGCTAATAATCCATATTTTAATAGCTTATACGTTCTAAGTTCTTAATTCCATAAGGCAATATTTAAAACAATCCTGAATTTCCCTTAGTGACACACTTGACACATTTTCTCTAGGCATCTTCTCTTCTCTATTTTATCCATAACCCATTCAAAATGTATGAAATTAGATGTAAATTACTCACTAAAATATCATTGTTGCTCAAACAAACCATAATTTTTATAGCCTTCAATTTTGTCTGGTTAATGAGCTATCAAATAGGAAATGAGACCCCTCCTGCCACACCCACCTGTCACATCCTCTCTTTCAGGATTTGTTAATAGTTCTCTATCTTATGTTTAATTATATATTACTTATAATCAATAGAAAGCCAAAGTTTTCATCTATAAAATGACATATGTATAATGTTGTGTTCTGAACAGATAATAGTCAATTTCACTCAAAGTACAAGCTTCGTTCCCATGGGATAGCTAACGAATAGCTAGGATGAATTTGTAATGGTTCTTGTCGCACAGTTAAAAGGCCAGACAAATTTTGTGAGTTAGGAAACATTGTCTACTTTTTACATGTTATTAGTGTATGTTCTTTGGTGGATTATTTAATTAAATAAAAGTCATTTAGTGCATTAGTATTATTAGTATAAAAAAGTAGGGTTAAGTGTCATTGACAATCAACAGCAAGAAAAAAGAAGATTTGGTTAATACTTTATTTCTTGTTTTTCATGTTTATTCTTTATTTATTATTATAAAAGTAACTAAAATGTAAAAATAGGGATCTTTTGAGGTTAGTTAAAATTAGATTAGATTAAATAAATAACAATAATAATATAATAAAAATGTTTCACCAGGTAGCATGCGAGCAGCTCGTAGTAACTCATGGGTAATGAAATTCGATAGTTTAATGCGAGCTGCACATTCCTTGAGTGATTTACAACTTATAATGGCACGGACAGTAGTTAGACATGGTTCAAAGGGCAATAAAACAATAAAATTTAATTATAAATAGTGTATAATGTTCGAGTTTAAAGCTACTTA